CGGAGGGTTGTTCTCAGGTGCCGTTCTCAGACTCCACATCCACCTCGCTCTCCTCAGCATGTGAGTGATTTTAAGGAGCAGAGCTGTGTGGAAGAAGGAAGGCCCAAGCATCACAGAGGCAGAAGTCTGCCCTGCTGCAGAATAGGCCCCTTGCCTGTTCTTATACATCTAGACCCCTATGTGTATGAGAAGCAGCCCATGTTAGCTACTGCTGCTTAGGTCAGGACCAATAACTTAAATTCTAGCTTTATTTGATTACTCTAGACATTGAAGCAGTATTTATATTATAGTAATATCAAGTCTGTGATTATAGTTTGGATCCTGGTATACTATGTGATGTATAAACATGTCTGAAGAGCATGTCCCTGCTCCATACATTTTTTATATACTTGAATAAACAACTTTGATGTCAGGAAAACTAAATGCAGCTATGAATTAAGCCAGAGTTTGAGTCCTGTATTTACAGAATTCAGAAAAATAGCCAACTCAAGCAGCAAAGCAAAAGGTTGGTGTTAGTTGTTACTGCAGAGTTTTGTTGTTGCCATAAGTACATTTTGCCCGTACCTTCTTAACACAGCTGCACCTCCGAACCTACAAGGAGCAACAAGAATGATTAACTGCTAACCAAAATGTTCTGTTGACACGTACATTCATGCCACATAAGTAAATATATACTTCTTGTCTCACACACTGTGAAAATAACTATACACAGCTGTGCAGTTCTTCAGTCTTTCACTTGATTGGAAATGGAAGAGACTCGTTCATTGTCTTGGAAGATGTAAGAAGAGGTAAAATAGTTTCTTGTGAGGAAAGGTGGATAACGGTGAAAATTTCAATATTCTGCCAGTCCTCCTGGCCCAAAAAGCAATCTCCAATGCTTGGTATTGTAGGGCTGCAGCTACTGCTATTACTACAGGGGAGATTTTGAATTCAGAAACAGTATTGGGTATATCAATCTCCTTTGACTTGCTGGCGAATTTCGAGCACATAATACAGATGAGAATTCAGAGCATGTTTTGCCTTTGCTTCCTCGACTAAATTGAGTTATGAGCCAGCAACAGAGCAAGGGAGCTGAAGGGTGGAATAAACATCAGGGCAAAGATGCTGTGGCTGAGACTGAGGATGTGGTAACAGGTCCTGTGCTCAGTTTGAAGTGATGAAGAGACATAGGAAGGTGCTTGAGGCTTCACGAGGCAGGAGCGAGCAGCAGCGCAGGGCTGAGGCCAGCAAACATGTCAGGGCCCCCTCACACTGGAGCTGCTCAAGGTGGTAGATCCTCTTTGGGTCTTAGGCAGCAACTTTAATCATCCATACAAACCAGTACTGCCAAGAAAGTCTTGAAAAGGAGGGGAAAAAAAAAGTGGGGGGGATATCTGGAACACGCTCATTAAGCTTAGTTGGTCTCCCTTCTCTTCTTCCAAAGGTCATGCCAAATTCAGGGCATTGTGCCCATAGGAAGTAGGAAATTTAGTGATAGCTGGGAACCTGTAGTTTAAGGCAGATTGTCATGTGTTATATAAAAATTATATTCATGAGAGTGACTTAGCTGAATGGGTGAATTTATTTTGGAAAAAAGCTCACAGACTGTAATGCAGTGTAACAGATAGTGTTTTAAACTAAATTCTGATTAACAGTCACATTTCTGATGGAAAAATGTTGTGCTCCATTTTGTTTAAAATCCTTCTAAGTAAAAGAGAGAAATCTTTTTTGTTTTTCCAGGTTGTATGCATATGTTTGACAGTACTTCACATTTTTTTCAGTTTCACTGTTTCTGTTGGGTAGTCAGTCAATTTGTTCTCTTTGTGTGAATTTTTTGTACAGTGACAGACTAAAAGAAACACTTCCAAAGAACTGAGAAATATGATTGCACAGGCACAAAATTTGGCAGAATAGCTAAGAAACGGGAACAAGACATAAAACTACATCTAATACTGTCCATGGTTCAGTTCTGAATGGATGATATCACTTTAACTTTTTACTCATTTTCTTAATAGAACCAGAGGAAAACAAGATGGAAAATACTTATTCATTCATTCATTCATTCATGTAGGCTCTGTTTGTGCTGGCAAAATCTTGCTTTTTAAACATAGCCAGCCAGATGAATTGATTCCCACACCAATAAAATGCATGTGTAACTAGATGCAACCAAAACATTAGACTGTTTCATTCTGTGATGAATTTTAATCAACAAGTCTTGAAATAATGACATTCACATCATGGCTTTTGTTAAAGTGAGAGATACTAATTCCAACTACATAGCTTCTTCCTTAAAACTCTCAGATTTTCAGAGATACTCAAGAGCCTAATTCCTTGATGGCATCAAGCTTTCCTCATAACCCAGCCCATGATCTGTATGCTTTATTTGTTGTAAGACAACAACTTAGTGGGGCAGCTCACTGCTCTCCCAAGCCTTAGGGGCAGATTTGAAAATAAGCTTTACAGTACATGTTCATGGCATGTATCATTAGCTTAGTTGCACACTGAACCTTTTTGCCTATTTCTGCCTTTCTTAACTGAGCACATGTTAAAGGCAAGCAGTCGGATATGGTTAGGATTCAGGGTTAGCAATGTGTATGCATGTATGCTTTTACATCAGTAAATGCAGTATTTTCAGGGAAACAAGCATTGCAGAAGGGATAGAAAAGGTGATAATACTGCCATAAATGGTATATGATGCTCACTTGAATAGGCTCTCAAGTAAGTTAGAGTTAGAAATACAAATGCGTTTTGCACTGCGATACAGTGTTGGTGAGTCTACATGTACTCTGTGCATGGGACACACTTGTGTGTGGAACACACACAGGGCTGTGAGTGGACACCTGCTTTTCCATTAAAAAAAAAAAAAAGGTTTAAAATTAACTGAACTTATCAGGCTATTCTCAGAGTGCCGAGGTGATGATGGAGTAATTGTGATGGAAAAATGAGAGCTGAAGCAGTGACTGCAAAAGGAGGACAAGACTGAGAGCCAGAGGTGTTACGCGTAGCAGAGGCTGCTGGTGCTCTACAAAAGCATATTAACTTTCTTTATGTCTGATGGCTGCTTGCAGTTACAAGCCAGGTTAACACTAAGGAGCAAGGAATTGTCATTTGGCAGCAACAAGAAAGCCAGAACTGCATTTCCTAACCTCTGACTTCAGAACTGGAAACCTGTTTTAACCAGGCTGCTTCCTAAGTGTGAATGCCCCGGAGTGTATATTTGACTTGTTTTCAAGCAAGCCTGAAATACGAAAAGTTCTGCTCTGTGGGACGAGAACACCCCGTCAGTTCCCCAAAACATCTCCCACTTGAGGTGGTGGAGTAACCAGCAGGGCTGCTCTGTGCACTTAGGGAGGTTCAGACAAGGAAGGCAAGTACCAAGCTCAGTTCCAGGCCGTGGAAGGAAACGTGCTGGGATGACCGGACACTGCCTGCTCTTCCTCACCCACATCTCTTCCCCCCTGCTTCTGATCCCTCTGCCTTAGGGTGTCTTTTGGCTGGGGGCTCTGCGCTACTCAGACCCATGAACTGTTGGTGGCTCCTCAGCTCTCTCTGCATCTGTTTGTGTCTTTTCCTGCCCGTGTTCTGCCCCCACTCCCCAAGCATGGAAAAACTCAGATTTTCCAGAATAAGTTGGGGGAATTTTCATATGGATGGCAGAAGCATCTCTCTGGCTAAGATGAGTCATTTCCCAGATTGCAAGATCTCACTGCAAACATTGACATTTGGGACTCCTCAGGCTACCAGTCCTTACTTGGCCTTACTGGGAATTGCTGTTGCCAGCCAAGGAACACAGAGACCTAAAATCCTGGATACCTGAGGCTAAATTCTAACTCCATCATTGGCCTCCTCTGTCACCTCAGACAAGTTGCTTCACATTCTCCCAATCACCTCCCTGTGTCAGCTATCCCTGGTTTTTGTGTTTTTTGTGTTTTTTGTGTTTTTCTTTTTTTTTTTGACTGCACTGTGAGTGAAGTGTTACGTGCTCATTCACTAACTCATTTGTTTTCCATGAAAGTGTGGCACAGTGAAAGAAATGTGTGTGTCTGAAATAGCTGTGCTGATCCCACTGCGAATCCAAGTATTAATCTATAATGGGAAAAAATGCACAAATGCACTAGCTGCAGAAGAATCCCGTCTGGTATTAAGCAGCCGGCAAGGTTTATAAATCTCTGCTGTTTTAAAGACTTTTGGGGCTTTTTTTCCCTAACTGCTTACACTTCTATTCAGCTGAGTTTAGAGCTAGTACCTCCTGCTTGTCACAGCACAGACCTTGAAACACTTCGCTGAGGTGTTGCCTTCCCTCTCATCATGTCGAGTTGGGGCGAGGACCAGGGCACACGCGGCGACTGAGGAGCCAGGACGAGAGGCTGCACTTTGCTCCTCTGATCTCCAGCTGCTCAGGAAGAATAAGCTGGCAAAGGCTTTTTTTTCTCTCATTCCCCTAAGTTCTCTTAAGTCAACTTTGCAAGAAGTCTTGTTACCTTGTGCTGTCTTACCTGTTGCCCTTTTTTGTGTTTCCTTTTTTTAGTCAGTGTGTTTTCTCTGCATGCAAACCTGAGTGTTTAGAAGACAATTAAAATTTGGTAGCTGGTTTTAAAACTGAAACTTCGTTTCCCAAGCAGTACAGGTGTTTCTGAGACTCTTACAGTATGAGATTGCTGCTAAGCAAGCAGAGTTGTGTTTGTCTTGCCTGACCCCAGAGCTGTGACTGCATGCAGCCCTACTTACCACTGAGCACCACATTCAAAGGTGCTGCAGGGGGAATTGCTGGGGAAGGGGGACGTGCACATTGCAGAGCAGATGTCACCATATCAGGCAGAGTGGCGCAGTCAGTCCCTCTGCTGCCATGGGAGAGGCTGAAGGTTTTGCCCTTCCAAGAGCGGCGCTGGAATCCAGCTTGGACGGTGGTGTCTGCGCTGATCCGTCGGGCACGCGCGGGCGGTGCCGAGCGCAGGAATGAGATCCGCGCGGAGCGGCAGCGGAGCTTCCCGCGCTCACGCGAGGCGGGATTGGTGCTCCGTGCCCACTGCACTGAGCGGAGCGCTGCGAGCCCCGCACAGCTCCGCGCGGGACACCCTCTTTTGTCTGTCAGCTCCCTCTGGCAGTTAGATGGACGCACTAGAAGTTCATCAAATTTGGGCTTTTCTCACTCTCAACCTTTCATCATGAAATAATGTTTACAGGTAAAGTTAAAGAGGGGAAGAAGAAGGGGAAAAGTCCATTTAGCTGCAGGGCTGTGTTTATCCAACCTATTTCTGAGTTCTGCAATGTATTCAGCTGCCAGGGATGTCAGTCAAACAGGCAAAATTGATGTTGATTTCTTTTGTGCAACAGCTGCAGAATCAGGAGATGCTGAGGGCAATGGTGAAGAAAGCAGAGCTGGAAATCAATGGCAAAATGATTGAAACAGTGAAGAGGCTTGAAGATCCTGTGCAGCGACAGCGCAACCTGGTGGAACAAGAAAGGCAGAAATACCTCAACGAGGAAGAAAAGATTGTAAAGAAGTTATGGTGGGTGGAGAAATTTGTTTCTGAATTATGTTTCTTATGCCTGGCTGCTTCTTCCATAAAGTGCCAGCTTTCCCCCTGCCTGTGTATGCGGTTTAATCCTTGTTTCCTTCTGCTCAAGTTGGCAGTAAAGCTATGTGTGTATTGTCTAAATCCATGACCCCCGACTGGGAATCTCTCTTAGCAAAGCCCATCAAGCAAGTTCCAGCCACCGGTAGGAAGGGGCTCAACCTCTTCAGAAGTCCCTGCAAGGTGCATGACTACCTCCATTTTTTGGGAGTCTCCTCCTACCCTTCA